TTTTGTGTGCTTAATGTGCTTTTGCAAATTATTTTTCCTTCCTTTTTAAATTTCAACACAAATACATGCATTCGTTCTTATATGACTAACAACCTTAAACCGAGTGAAGAGAAAGAAGTTGTTAAAAGGAGAGAGAAAAGAAATACATGATGAAGAGGCGAAGCAAGTTAGTTAATATTCACATTTTATGCACCTTCATTATATAAATATTCTTAATTTTTAGGCACCACAATGATATATTGTGTCTATCAAAAGCGTGCACTTGCCCAACGTCTGGGCACGCGAGAAACGTGAACAAAAATCAAAAGCATGTTCATGCACTACCAATTGGGACAACGCCTGAGACCGAAGAACAGAAAAGAGAAAGATCGAAGGAAATGCTATTAACCCAAGACAACTGCTTCTTTAACACCAATATTGAAAATAAAGTCACAAGAAAAGAATCCTTCTTTACCACATTTTGACATTTATATTAGCACTTCTTTCCATTTATCATAGATTTTAATTGTTCACAATGCTATCTTCTGTAGCCTCCTCCTACAACTCCGTTATGAGAAATGTTTGGTGTGGTCATCCGTGATGAGCACGACCTTAATGTTTATCGCGTGTTCGTGGGTAAGTCAAAATCAAGTCAAAACATTATATGTATTTTATTTTATCATATAAGATTTTGACAATCTTTCAATATTTTATTTATATTTGTTAGGCCAAAAGGTAAAGAAAAATGTCAACCCAAATGTCTAAAGGAAAAGAAAAGATGGCTCTTCCGGCAAGAGAATGACAAATGCATTCATGTGGTATATATTTCTTTTTTAAAAAAATATGATGCAACATTAACAACAAATTTGTAGTTTAATACAATATATGTGTGAATAAAATGAATTCTATTGTATTATGTTGTTTTGTGATTAGAATGATTTATATATGTTTTCCTGTAACTTGCTATTATTTGTATGTGTCTTCCAAAGTTTATTTATTCTTATTTTCGACGATGAGATACAAGATGTAATTTTATAATGTACGTCCATAAGATTGCTACTTAATCATAAGAAAATCAGGAAAAAACAGAAACAAGAAATAAATAGAAAAAATATATAAAGAAAGGAAGAAACTAAATTAAGATAGGTTTTAATTCTTATTTAATATATAAAATAGAAACAAAGAAGGGAAAAGGAAAGGGAAAGGAAACGGGAGAAATCAAGAAGTATAGAAAGGAAGAAAAAGAAAAAAAGAAATAAAGACTAACACTATATAAAGGTTAATAAAACAAATAAAATAGAAAACCAAATTAAGAGAAAAGGGAGAAATAGAAGATAGTTTCATTTTAAGCACAAAATACTTCACATCTTTTGCTTCAATGAATAAAATATTTTCTTTTTAGGGCACAAAATGATAATGTATATATCAAAAGCTGCATGGCCCAACGGGCACAGGCGAGAGCGTGAAAAAATTGAATTTCAATGCTTGCAACGGAGGGGCAGAGAGGGATTAGAAGAAGTGTTCAACTAAGACACATTCTTTAACACCAAATTCGTCGCAGATCGCACTCACTGGAGTGGGAAACCAATAACTGAAGATTCTCCAGTTCGCACAAAAACGTAATGGTTACCCATCATTCTACATGTTCGTTTTCTATCCCAAGCACATTCTTCAATTCACAAATATGGAAATCGGTAAACTCTATGTCAATCTTGAAATACATACTTTTACTCATACCGTTTTTTGTTTTACAAAATCTTATTTATACAACAAATATTCGTAGTCCTACTCCTATAATCGTTTTTTTCAACAAGAATCTATGTACTGATGAATGAATTAGAAGATTTGCCTACGACGTATATCAATTGGGCACCGGGCACAACAAAGTTCTTGCCGCCATTATCTTGGCAAGATGGATGGTATTATGGTCCTTATTGTTCAGCTTTTACATTGGTATGGATGAAAAATTGACAAAATCATCTATAAAGCGTCCTTATTCGGAACTTAGTGTTGGGAAGGAAAGATTAGGCTACCTTTACTTATTACAACCCCTCCACCACTTCAGGCATTGTATGATTGGGAATAATGATCAATCAAAATCTTTCGAAATGTTTATACTCGAGTGTAAACAATGCAGCCAACTGCTTTTAGCGAGTCTTGGTGCTACATTGGAGTCCTAGATACTCGCGTGGAAGGGGCCCTACATCATTCACAATTCAAATGGGGAATTGCGACATCGAAGCTAGGATCACTACAACCACAACCAGGGCAGGATGCGAGTTATGCTTCAGGCTGTATTCTATGACCCTTATTCAGCTTTAGAAATTTCGTAATCGTAGAAATCCTAACTTGAGAAAGGGATTTCTCAAAAACTATTCAGGATATTGTTGGCAAGTCAATTGCAATTTGTATATTAAATATCGCCAGGCTTTCATGCCCACTTTTACATCAATTAGACTCGGCAGGACACAATCTACCTGCTCATTCTTCATTACAGTTCCAACAACTGATCTGATGCGTCTGTGTATAACCTACCA